CAGCCGTCTGGTTAGCAGGCAAGTGTCTTAGCCACTATGCTACCAGAGCTCCCCACATACATATTAGGCTACTGAAAATACCATGGCTTGAGTCAGGCACACCTTAATCTTCAAAGCGAAATCTTTGCTCTTTAACGCATTAAAGAGGTCTTTTGCAGCAGATTTGCCAAGTACAATACGTTATCTGATTTCTTGACTGATGCTTCCGTAGGTGTTGATTGTGGATCCAATTAAAGTGAAATCCCTGATAATTTTAATCTTTCTTCCATTTATCATGATGTTGCTTGTTGGTCCAGTTATAAGGATTTTTGTTTTGTTTATGCTAATGTGTAATCTCTACTGAAGACTGCAGTCATTGATCTTCACAGTAAGTGCCTCAAGTCATCTTCACTTTCAGCGAGCAAGGCTGTGTCGTCTGCATATCACAGGTTGTTAGTGAATCTTCCTCCAATCCTGATGCCTCATTCTTGTTCATATAGTCCAGCTTCTTGGACTATTCGCTCAGCATACAGACTGAATAAGTATGGTGAACAGATACAACCCTGACGCACGCCACTCCTGATTGTAAACCATGCAGTATCCCCTTGTGCTGTTCAAACAACTGCCAAGTGATAGTAGGCAGGCCTATAGAGTGAGTAATAGCCCTTATGAGAAGGCACTCCTCAGAACAATTAACCAAATGAGACCAAAAGGGCAGCATCTGTCCAAAAACAAAGCTCAGAAGGCGGAAAGGGGCAAGAAAGAAGGACCAATGGAAACAGGGAACTCAGGGAGGAAGCGGGATGAGCGTTGTTACATTGAGGCAACGGCAGCTCACGCAATGATACAAAATGTGTATATATCGTTGAATGGAAAACTTATGTGCTCTGGAAACTTTCACTAAAACTACACACACACACACACACACACACAAAGAAGATGGAACCTAGCACGGTGTCAAAAAGCCTCAAACAGAAGATTTGCTTTTATTCACTAGCTGTATGACCCAGCTTGTAAAAGGATGCTGGTTCAAATAAAGTCTGTACAGGGCCTGTTAGACAGCAAGTGCCCAGTACTTGTTGACAAGGAGCCCTAGTGTCACAACAGTTAAGCGCTCAGCTGCTAACTGAAAAGCTGACTGAAAGGAAACAGTCCAAAGAACTAATGGACCATGAAAACTTCAACAGATAGACCCTGAGACCAGAAGAACTAGATGGTGCCCAGCTACCAATGGCAACCACTCAGAACGGGATCAAAATTGGAGAGTGGGAGAGTAGGAGAAAAACATGGAAAAAAACTAAAAATCATTAAAAAAAAAAAAAGACCAGGCTGATGTAACGTTGGGTCTCCCCTCACCCAGAGCAAAGACCAATGAAGAAAAGCAAAGATGCATGGAAACAATTGGTCCAAGGGACTGGTAGACCATGTGATCCTCAGCCTATATGACCATGAGACCAGAAGAACTAGATGGTGTCTGACTACTACTGTCAACCACTGGAAAGGAACCAATGCAGGAGATCCTGGATAGAGTGGGAGAACAATGTGGAACAAAACTCAAAATCATAAAAAAAAAAGACCAGGTTTGCTGGTCTGATCGAGCCTGATGGAACCACTGAGGCTATGGCCTCCTGTTATCCTTCAGGTCTGGAACCGCAGCCATTCCTATTGCTTCCAGCCAGGAAGGCATACGGGGTGAACATTTATACCCGGTAGGTACACTCCTTAGAACAGTCAATCATGGGAGAAGAAAAGAGCAGTGTTTGCACCAGGAGACAGCTCAGGGCGCAGGAATGCAGAGGAAAGAAGGGCACAGGGAAGAGGTAACCACAGGGAGGAAGTGGGAAGAGAGCTGTTACACTGTGGGGATTGCAGTCAATGTCATGAAACAAAATGTGTATGAACTGCTGTATGGAAAATGAATTTGCTCTGTATACTTTCATCTAAATCACAATAAAAATTAAAGAAAGAAAGAAAGAATGCTGGTATTTCTTTAAAAAAAAAAGATCTTTTGAGAGAAAAAAAATGATAGTCAACATCCCACTGCGTGTGCCTTGTACTATCTATTACCTTATTAAGCGACTCTGTTCTAAGCACTGTTCATTTATTACCTTACATGAGTCTTACTGAATCATCTCAACAGCCCCATTTCATAGACCAGGAAACTGACTCTCAGAAAAGGGTATAAGTGACTTGTCCCTGGTTATAACAGTGAGGACTAGCTGAGTTAGGATTGAAACTAGGTTTCTTGTCTTGACTTCAAGACAGTGTCCTGCCCCCCTTTTCCCACCCCGCCCCCATCTTAGCCTCCATCCCTCCCATCCATGGCCCCACAAGCCCTCACCTCACCTCCGGATGGCCAGTTGCCTGCTACCGTATCTTGATTGCCTCATGGATACTGTTCACAATTTTCTGTAGTTTAGTGTCATCCACAAAACCATCACCTTTCTGGGCACAGAGGGGAAGAGGACAAACTTGTCTCCCCCATCCCTCCAGAGACCCAGCCCCACCTTCTTCCCTGTCCAGGACCCTTACTCAGAATCACCTTCTTCGAATGGACCAGTTTCTCGTCCACAAACACTTCAAACTCCCCCGTAGCCTGGGCAGAAATGTTCTCCTCCTGGGAATGGAAGGTTAGGAGCTGAGGGAGGCTGAGAGCTCCTGAGACCTTGTTCCCAGCATTCGGCTGTTAACCAGAAGGTCAGTGGTTCAAACCCACTAACTGCTCCCTAGAAGGAAGATAGGGTGATCTACTACCATAAAGATTTACAGCCTTGGAAACCCAATGGAGGTCGCTATGAGTCAAAATCAACTTGATGACAGTGAGTCTGTTTTTTCTGTTTGTTTGTTTTGGGGGGTCTCCAAGCCCTGAGCACCCCGTACCCCCAGGGCACCAGCACACTTACAAAGAGCAGACGATCTGGAAATTGCTGCTCCAGACTCTTCTTCAGTAGAAGGTACTGTGGAGAGATGAGGAGATGGAGTCATAGGTCGTGGACTCACAGGAGAAGGGAACAAGAACTCCTCCCAGGCTTCATTCCCCACGCTCCCCTTCCCCCCAAGTCCAAAGTGAAAACTACTCACCCGAAGCCCGTAGCTTCAGAGGCCACTGGAGGCAGAGGGCAAGGGAAGGTGGGAGAGAAAAGGGAAGGGAAGACACGAGACACAAGTCAGGGCCTTCCTGTGGCTCCATCTCAGGAGAAAATCTTAGTCGTCCTGTGGTCCCTGAGGCCCTGCAAGGTCTGTTCCATCACCTCCCCGCCCTCACCTCCTCCCACTCTTCACCTGGCTCAGCCCTGGGGACCTCCTAGCTCTGCTTCCAACACTCCGGGCACTCCCTGCCTCAAGGCCACTACACTGGCTGTTCCTTCTGCTGAATGTTCTTTCCCCAGGGTATACCTCCATGGCTCCTTCTCTCCCCTCCTTTGCTCAATGAGGCCTTTCCTGAGCACCCTAGCTAAAACTGTAACCTCCCAAGATGCCTTTTGTCCATAGCACTGATCACCTGCGTATATACCAGGTAATTCACTACTTGTTGTCTGAGTTGTTTATTGCCTGTCCTCCACAACAGAATGTCAGCCCCACAAACAAGGACAAGGAGCTCTGTCTTGTTTGTAGCTGTGTCCCCGGTGTCTGGCACACGGCAGGTGCTTAATGCGCAGTTGTCAAATGAGTTAATTCATGAAGACAGAGAACGAGATAGAAAGAAAGGAGGAAATGGACAGAGGAAAAGAGGGGAAGATCAGGAGGCAGAGATGGGACAAGGAGAAAAGACACACACACACACACACACACACACACACACACACACACACACGGAGAGAGACAGAGCATGGGGGAGGGGGGCTGAGCAGAGAGAGAAGAGAGAAAGCCTCAGACAGGAAGAGAGGGGCGTGCGGAGAGCCTTCTGGAGCAGGGGGCTGATGGGAGGGGGAGACAGAGCCCCTCCCCTGGCTGAATTCTGCCCTGGGTCTCAGGGAGGCCAAGGAAGGGTAGTGCTACTGCTGTTGCACAACCCGGAGCTCAGTCTTGGCAGCAATGGAGAACAGCATTCGGCCTCCTGCTCGGGACTCCCTGCTGCTTTGATCACCTTGCTCCAGCTCCTCACTCAGCAGGAGCTCCGGTGGCGCAGTGCCTAAGGCATTTGACTGCTAACCAGAACGTTGGCAGTTCAAACCCACCAGCCACTCTATGGAAGGGATCTATCTCCTTGGAAACCCAGTGGGGGTCGGAACGGACTCAGAGGAATGCAGGTTGGGATAGACTCGGTGGCAGTGGGTTGGGTTGGGTTTTTCTCATCACTCAGAAAGGCCACCCCTGACCCCCAGTCCTCCTGCAGGGCACTCATCTCCATTCACACCCCTCCTCCCTTTGTGTCTGTGGCACCTCCCCTCCCGAGGGAAAATGAGGTCCACCCATTCAACACAAGCCTCACTGAAAGACTCAATCACAATCATCAATTAAAGTGAACAAATGAAGCTGAGAACCAGGACTTGCACTGCTGGGGCAGGCAGGGTTTTGAACCCACATCGCTGGCCTCCACAGAGAATGAGAGGGAAAGCCAAGTTTCCAAGCTGGGCAGTGGGACCCTCCCCTCACCCTATCCCAACGCTGACGTCCACATCCCCAGAGCGCCAGCCAGCACCTACTCCATGCAGCCGGTTCACCAAGGGAAGGAAAGCAGGTGTGGGGGGGACAGCCTCTCACCAGTAAACCACTCGAATAATGACTCTGTTGTCCACTGGCAAAGTCTCGCTGGTGGAGGGGCTTGTGTTGCTAGAAACCGGTAAAATGGCTGACAGCGCCGTGCCCAAGACAGGCGGTGGGGCAAGCCCGGCGGCGGAATCCATCAGCTTGGTGGCGGAGGAGGAGTCGACCTTCAGGAGGGGCTGGAGAGTGGACCCCAGAATCTCCGTGGCCGATGGCGTGTGCGCTGGGAGGGAACACTGGATGTGCCCGGATAGGCCGGGCGCCAGAGTCGACGACGACTTCGGAGGATCCTTCTCAGGTGACAAAGTGGGCTCCGGAGCCGGTTCCGGGAGTGACTCCAATAGCAGGGCCGGGGTCGGGAAGGATTCCGGTGCAGGGAGTTCGGCGGGGATCCAGGGCGTGGCTAGGGTTGCAGCCTGGACTGGAGTCGGGGCCTGGACTGGGGTTGGAGTCTGGACCGGGGTTGGGGTCCGAACCCGGATCGGGGTCCGAACCGGGGTCGGAGTCCGAACCAGGGTTGGGATCTGGGCCGGGGTTGGGGTCTGGGCCGGAGTCGGGGTCCGGGCTGGAGTCGCCACCCGGATCGAAGGCGAGACCTGGACTGAGTTCGGGGGCCGGACTGGAGTCGGGGCCCGGACCAGGTTTGGGGACCGGACTGGGATCGAGGTCCGGCCCCGAGCCGGGGACCGGACTGGAGTCGGGGTCCCGACTGGGGAAGGGGCTGGGGCCCGCGCCTGGTTGTTCATTGGGGGCGAGCGGGGCCCGGGGAGCGCTGGGTGGGATTCCCGCCCTGCCCCGCCCCGGTTCCGCGAGCGCAGAGCGCACACTCGCACCAGGGTTCGGAAATGGAACGTGACCACAGGGGGCACTGTTACACCGCGTTCACTCGGAGTGAAGGCTCTGAGACCAGGCCGGCCGTCTACAGGCGTTCTGGTGGCGCAGTGCCTAAGGCACTTGACCCCTATCCAGAAGGCTGGCGGTTCAAACCCACCAGCCACTCCTCGGAAAGAAGATTGGGCAATCTCCTTACACAGTGATACCACCTCGGAAACCCAAGGAGGGGTCGCTATAAGTCGCATCTCGCCGGACCCCTAGAGCTTGCCTAACCCCTTAACTGCAGCTATGGTAGGAAATGAGTCTGACTGCCCTCACCAGGCTCCCTGGTGAGACATACCCATCACCAGTGACAATGGCAGAGTCAGGGTGGGCTGGGAAGGGGTCAAGGACTGGAGACCAGAGGAGATGCTAGACCCAAGTCTGTGACAAATTAGAAAGGGTCTAGAAAAGGGATCAACTGAGTGATCTGGAAAATAATAACAGCAACAGAATCAACATTTATACACAGTGCTAAGTGCAGGAGCTCTGGTGGTGTCGTGGCATCTGGCTGCTAACCCAAAGGTTGCTGGTTCAAACCCACCAGCTTCTCAAAGAAAGCTGAAGCAGAGACTACCAGCTTCCATAGATTCACAGCCTCGGACACCCTATTGGGCAGTTCTACTCTGCCCTCTAGGGGCGCTGTGAGGCGGAACAGACTTCACGGTAGTGGGTTAAGTGCTATACACTTACCACAGTAGTAAGCAGAAGAGCTGGGATTGAAACTCAAGCTATCAGATCCAGAGTTCTAGCCCATCACCACCCTCATGGGCACTGGGATAGGCCCGGAGGTGGAATCCTTCAACTTGGTGGCCGATGTGTCTACCATTAGGATGGGCTCAAAGGTGGATCAAACTGACCTCATCAAGAGTGAGGATCTGTCTGTCTCATTCACTGTTGCATTCCCCAGCTCCCACAAGGCTTGGCACACAGTAGGAGCTTAATAAATACTTGTGGAGTGAACGAAAGAATCAAGGAATAGATGTTAACTGAGAGCTGAAAGCAGAGGAAAAACACTGACTGGACCCAAAGAGCTGGAGCGGGACAGTGAACACAGGGGACAACAGACATGAATGAGAAGCAGGGCCTCCTTAACCACCAGGGGGCGCCTGGACTCCATCCTGAGGCAATGAGACCGAAGGGTTAACTAGTCATGCACGCATGTATACACACACACACACACACACACACAATCTTTTTATTTGAACATAAAAACCACTGCCATCAAGTTGATTCTGACTCATAGCGAGTCTATGGGGTTTTTATTATTATTATTTAAACACATATATATGTTTAAGGAAAAAAATAGTTGTCATAGAGTCCATTCTGATTCATGGGGATCCCATGTGCACCACAGCACTTTCAACTACTATAATCTTACAGAAGTAGATCTAGAGCACCTTGTCTTTTCTCTGAAGTCCCACTGGATGAACTGAACCGCCAACCTTTTAGTTAGCAGTTGAGTACGTTAAGCATTTATTTGCACCACCCAAGGTAAAAAAAAACTCAATGTTGTGGGAGTACAGATGGGAGAATCTCCCTCACTACACTACTGCATCCTGATACATAGTGGGCACATGGCCAAGCCTAGTCCATCAAGAGACCTAGTGATGGGATGAGACATGGCCATGTGACAAGCCAGGGCCAATGGGAGCCTGCCTATGTTTGAAATCATCCCATGGGAAACAGCCAACTGAAGAATGACTCTGAGTCAGAGGATCCAGCCCCGTCTCAAGCTACACCTACTTTTTCCTTTTTATCTGGCAAGCAGTTTGTTTCGCTCCCCTGCAACAGTTACAGTCCTATCCATGATTCTTCTGAAACCAACCAAACTCACTGCCATAGAGTCGATTCTGACTCATGGCTACCCCAATTGGGTCTCCAAGGCTGTAAAACGTTATGGAAGCAGACTGCCTCGTTTTTCTTCCACTGAGCGGCTGGTGGGTGCAAAACACCGGCCTTTTGGTTAGCAGCCAAATGCCTTAACCAGGACAGCATCAGAGCTCCTTAGGATTCTTCCAAGGACACAAAATCTCTGTCCTTGGCCCCAAGACCAGATACAAGGCAATCAGACTGGAGAGTTGAAGTTGATCAAAATAAGGGCCTTTATAGATGTCTCTGGACAGAGAGAGAAAGGAAAATAATAGGATATAAATAACCACTATGTACAAATTCCAACGGTAAGGTCTCCCAGCTACCCTTTCCAGCTTGAACTCCTTAGTGTCTCGGGCAGAGATTGGGCACCACCAAGTAAATACAAAAATACCCAGGCTCTGTCAACAGGTGATGACGGCAAAGGGCCAGGTCAGGCCTAGAAACAAAACGAGTGGGCGGTATTAGAAAAGGCTGCTTTGGATCTATTCTCCCTCCCCGCAAAAAAACCCACTGCCGTCGAGTCAGATCTAACTCATAGCGACCCCTCCTTGGGTTTCTGAGGCAGTATCACTATGGAAGTAGATTGCCCAACCTCCTCTCCCCAGTGAGTGTTAAAAGAAGGGGTTCTGGGTGAGGAAGCCCACTGTAACCTCTTGAAGCCCTAGGTTTTCCAAAGAAAAACTGGCCAACAGCTCAAAATTACAGCAAGAGGGATGTAAGATAGACTTACATCATCAGAACTGGAAAGTGAGCTTAAGAACCTTCCCACCTTACACACAGAGAAAAGTGAGCTTAGAGATAAAAGAGGGACTACCTGGGTGTGTCCAGTGTTGTGTAGAGGAGATGGACAGGGACAACCACCTACCTCCGGGGCATAGATCGAAGGAGCAGATATGACATAAATTGCTCGAGAATCTCCATCTTCAGGACGACTCCAATTAGTAGGCAGGCTACGGAAGGAAGGAAAGATGCAAACCCTTAATTCTCAGATCTTTTTCCCATGGATGGGAATCTGAAGCCAACGGGGAAACTGGGGAATGAACCAATCAAAAAAGCGCCAGAGGCAAGATTGTGGTCACTGTTTGGTCACAGCCAGCTACCCAGAGGGACCGAGTAGTTGAACCTGAGGGCTTGGGACCATAGTCGCAGGGGACATCAAGCTCAATTGGCATAACATACTATACAAAACATTGTTCCACCTCCTACTTTGGCGAGTAGCAACTGGGATCTTAAAAGCTAGCAAGCTGCCATCTAGATGCAACGATGGGTCTCTCCTCGTCAGGAGCAAAGAAGAAAGAAGAAAACCAAAATTAATGGAAACAATCAGTCCTAGCGACTGGTACACCATCCGATCTGCAACCTATACAACTATGAGACCAGAAGAACTAGATGGTGCCCGGCTACCACTGTCATCCACTTGGAAGGGATATAGGAAATCCTGGATAGAGAGGGAGAACAATGTGGGACAAAACTCAAAATCATTTGGAGGGAAAAAAAAAAAAGAAGGTGGGGACCAGGATTTGCTGGTCCAATAGAGCCTGGTGGAACCACTGAGACTATGGCCCCTAGCTGCCCTTCAGGTCTGGAATTGAACCTACACCTGTGGTTTCCAGCCAAACAATGCACAGGCATGTGAGTTAAACATTTACCTCAAGTAGACACACGCCCTGGAGAGAACAATCATGGGAGAAGAAAGGGCTGCTTATGCACAGGGAGATAGCTCAGGGCGCAGGAGAGTATGGAGGGATGGTCACTGGGAAGAGGTGACTATGGGGAGGAAGTGGGGGGGGGAGCTGTTGCATTGTAAACTGTGGTCAATGACATGAGACCAAGTGTATGTGAACTGCTGTATGGAAAGTGAATTCGTTCTGTAAATCTTCACCCAAATCACAATAAATTAAATTAAATTAAATTTTTTTAAAAAAAGCGCCAGAGCGCGGAATGAACCAATCAGAAAGGTCCATCAATTAATCGGGCCAATTACCCTAACGGGACTGATGCAAGCTACCAATGGGAACAAGGTGTACGTCTGTGCCCCAGCTGCTCACCTGGAACCATCCCCGGAATCCTCTAGCGTCCGCAAATTGTTGAGCTCATCGGGGAGTGCGTGGATCGGTGGTTCCGGGGTCCCCGCCAACAGGCGAGTCCCAGTATCCCGGCCAGTGCCACGGCGTCGCAAGTGAACCAGCAAAAGCGCAGCGCCGGCCAAGCCCGCAGCCACCAGCAATCCCAAAGCCGGCGGCAAAAGGAAGCGCTGCGCGTCTCCCTGCCTCGGGTTCGACTGGGCCACCGGTAATGCTCCTACACGGTCGTCCGCGCCTTCGGGACGAACCGCGAACTCGCACCGCGCGCCCATGTAGCCGGGCGCGCAAGCGCAGACGAGGCCGGAGAAGTGGGCGTAGCAGCGGCCGCCGTGGGCGCAGGGACGCGAGGCGCATGGGTCGGCGCGCTCGCGGCAGTCGCGGCCGCCAAAGCCGAGCGCGCAGGAGCAGCGGCGCGCGCCGCCGCCCTCCAGGCACGTGCCGCCGTTAGCGCAGGCGCGTCCCGCGCAGTCGTCCAGGTCGTGTTCGCAGCGTGGACCCGCGAAGCCTGCGCGGCAGCGACAACGCAAAGCATAGCCTAGGTCCAGGCAAAGCCCGCCTGTGAGGAAGGCAGTGTCAAGGGGTGCAGCCGTGGATAGCAGGCCTGTCACGCACCTTTCTCTAGCCTCTAGGAATTTGCCTGCAAAGCCAGCCTGCTTCCTTTTGTATTCTGGTTAGCTCAACCTTACCTGACTCGCTCTGTGTCTCTTTTTAGTCTCAGCATTAACCATACATAGATAGGTGTAGTTCCACAACTACGTGTGGTCCTCTTGCCCCCTGGGCCCTGCAGGGACCCTACCTTCCCCTACCCCTCCCTCAGCGTTCTGGCCTCCCCTCCTCACCATTCCGGCATGGCTGCAGGCTGCACCGGTCTACCCTCTTCTCACAGTTGGAGCCCTGGAAGCCGGGCGGGCAGTGGCAGACGTAGGCAGAATCGGGGTCTGCACCCCCTACACACAAGCCGCCGTTGAAGCAGGGTCCATCTGCGCATGTCACCCCGCTCACCTCACACCGCAGCCCATAGAACCCACGAGGGCAGGCGCACTCAAAGGAGCCTGGTGTTTCCTGGGCAGGAGCAAGAAGTCTTTGGGGCAGGTGGTCCCCTCAGAGCAGAATCCCACCCCACTCCTCGGAGCCTTGACCACTGCGGTCGGCTCTGTCTCCAGTCTCACCCCTCAGCGTGCAGGGGCTTGCCACCCCACCCCCCAGGCAGCCCCTCGCTCCTCTCCATGTTTCTGTTTCTACCCTCATAACCCCACAGGGAAGAGGCCTCAGGCGTCCAGTTCCCACCTCTCCACCTTGCCTAACACATGCTGGCCACCGGGTCTGCCCCTCTGGATTCCACCTTCTCTAAAATCTCTCCTCCCCAGCCCGCACAACGTGAACCCTGAATGTGTCTTACTGTCCCATAGTGGCAGTCTCCAGGTGGCCTACACTGGACTCTCCCTTATCTCAGTACACACCAGGCTCATTGTCACCTCCACACTTTTGCTCACCCCATGCCACTCACTCAGTCCACCCTTTGACTTGGTATGCCCCTCAGCCAAATCTTACTTCAGAAGCTCTAGTCCTAAAGTTATGATAACTTCTTAGCCACAGCCAACCACCCTGAAGGTGCAAGTTGTTGGATCTGTAGACAGAGGACCATGGTCACAGGGGACATCGAGCTCAATTGGCATAACATACTATACAAAACGTTTTTCCACATCCTACTTTGGAGAGTAGCCACTGAGGTCTTAAAAGCGTGCAAGCAGCCATTTAGATGCAACGATGTGTCTCTCCTCATCCAGAGTAAAGAAGAATGAAGAAAACCAAAATGCATGGAAACAATTAGTCCAGGGGACTAGTGGACCATGTGAACCTCAGCCTACATGACCACAAGACCAGAAGAACTAGATGGTGCCCGGCTGCCACTGTCAACCACTCAGAAAAGGATCGGTCTAGGAGATCAGGGTTAGAATGGGAGAACAATATGGAACAAAACTCAAAATCATAAAAAAAAAAAAAAGACCACGTTGCTGGTCTGATAGAGCCTGGTGAAACCCCTGAGACTGTGGCCCCTAGCTGCCCTTCAGGTCTGGAATTGAATCCACTCCTGTGGCTTCCAGCCAAACAATCAACAGGCATATGGGGTGCACATTTACATCAGATAGATAACACTCCTTGGAGCGATCAATCGTGGGAGAACAGAAGGGGAGTATTTTTACGGGGACATAGCTCAGGGGGCAGGATGCACAGGAAAGAAGGACACAGGGAAAAGGTAACTAAAGGGGGGAATGGGAAGAGAGATGCACATTGTGGGAGTTGCAGTCCATGTCATGAAACAAAATGTGTATGAACTGATGTATGGAAAATGAGTTTGCTCTGTAAACTTTCACCCAAATCACAATAAAAAAAATTTTAAAAAGAAGACACTCCAGCCTTGTGCCCATCTCCTCCAGAAAGGCTCCTCTCCTGTCCCACCCCTCCCCCAGATCCCAGATCCCAATCCCACCTCACCCCACCATCCCTTCCCTACGTTGGCCCCTAAGTTACTCTTATCATCCCACCTCCACACCTTTAGATACTGCCTGCTGGGTCTGCGTTCCCCAGTCCCATCCCCATTACCTAATCCAACTTCAAGACCCCAGATGCGAACCAGACACCTCCAGGAAGCCTTCCCTGACTGCTAACCCTAGCTCTCCACCCTAGCTGGTGTCACAGGGAGCCCCAGAGAGAGGGAGGTGGAAATTCCCGGGGTGAAGTAGGAATCCCGCTGAGGTGGGGTGGGGTGGGGTGGGGTGATACTGACACTACAGCTGCCCCCATTGGCACATGGGTTTCCATCACAGGGCCCAGGTCCGGGTGCGAAGCATCCGGTGGTAGCGGAGGATGGGCCCCTGGGGCCGAGACAGCTGCTAGCGGAGACTGGGACGCTGCAGAGAGGCCCAGCCCATCCCTCCAGGCATTGACATTCACCAGGCTGCTGGCAGAAGCCATGCTCTGGGCTGCAGCCTGGTCGGCAGGTCACTAAGGGGGACAGGGAGGCAGAGGGAAGAAGAAGGTGAATGTCAGGGAAGTCCAGGCTCAAGAGGACGGAAATTGGAGAGGTTTCTGAGCCCTTTCCACGTACCACCTTCTTTCATCCTTGTGACAACCCTCTGCACTAGATGGTATTGTGAGCCCCGGATTACAGATGGGGAAACTGAGGCCCAGAGCTATGAGGTGATTCACCCAACTAGGAAGGGAGGAGCAAGCATTTGAACCCAGGCCATCGGGCTCCTGAGTTTGTGCTCTTAGGAGGAGGATCGGGAGTGGGCTCCAGATCTGGGCCTGGAGAGAGGGGAGTGAGGGAAGAAGATTCATGATTAGGGAGGGCCCTTGGCCCTTAGGGTCTGGATTAACCATGTGTGTGGGGCGGTTCTTAGGGGCATCAGTGGGGCTCTGAAATTTGGGGAGGATTCAGGGTAAGTTTGGGGTTCCCTGGCTTTAAAAATTAAGAGGATCTGTCCTGCATAGCAGGCAGGGAGGAGAGAGGATCCCTTCAGAAGTTTGAGAAATTTCTAAACTGCTAGGTGGAGGGAGGAAGGCCCTGGAATTAGGAGAGCTGTAGGCCTCCTCACATCTCCAAGGGGTGTGGGTATGGGAAATGGGTGTGGGGTTCCTACTTGAGGCTGGCAAGGGGCCTGGGTATCCAGGCAGAGCTAGCAAAAGATCTGAGGTCCTCAGTTTCCCCGAAGGTGGTAGCTGGAGGCTGGATAGTGAGAAGAGGCTGAGGAAAATGAGTAGAGCTGGGGAGGGAACTGGGTACATGGACCGGGATCACAGGGAGTCAGTCCCCACTTCCTTGGAGAGGCGTGTGTGGAATACCTGGGGAAGATCCTGGGAGCCCCAGTTTCCTAGAGAGGGTAGCGGGGTTGACGTGGGACTGGGGCGAGCGTATGGCGGTAACTTAGGAGGGCCCAGGGTCCCTAGTCGGACGGGGTGGGGTTGAAGGGAGAACTCACGCGGTGCCGCGCACTCGTCCTCCACAGGGTCGCAGGGACGCTGTTCCGGGCCGCACCGCGAGGGGGCAGTGCGCGAACGGCAGAGGCGCGTGCACGAGGCCCCGACGGCCGGCGGCTCGCAGCGCGCGCGGTACGAGAAACGCAGTTCCCAGCCACCTGCGCGCTGCACGTCCCGGGCCCACGGGCCCCCGGCCGCCAAGCGCCACCGTCCAGCCACGCGCGACAGCAAGCTCCAGCCTGGTCCTGCAAGGATAAGGGAGAGACTTTGGGAGGGGCCTGACTGGACTGCCTTAGGACTTAGGTCTCGCCCCAGACAGCGACTGACCACGCTTCCTTTCACTCTTCCGGCCCCCATTAACCACAATCCAAACTTCCAGTCCATTCCTACTCATAGCGACCTATGGCAGACCGAAACAACCTTTATCCAGCCTTGGGGATAGCAGTTTCCCACTTCAGAAAAAAAAAAAAAAACCTCACTGTCATCGTGTTGGATTCAACACACAGCGACCCCTCCTGGGGTTTCCGAGGCTGTATCACTACGGAAGTAGATTACCCAACCTTCCTTCTGAGGAGTGGCTGGTGGGTTTGAACCGCCAGCCTTCTGGTTAGCAGTCAAATGCCTTAGGCACTAGGCCACCAGAGCTCCCAGTTAGCAAGGCTATAAACCCCCTGGGAATTTCGATAGGAATCCCAACTAGCTCCCCATGACCACTATGGCACTAGTTCTCCCATAAAAAGCATGGTGGTGGTGGTGGTTGGTTAGTTGCCATAGGGTGGATTGCGACTAGGACCCGCATGCGCAGAGCACTACACCCACAGCGTTTCCCGGCTTCCCGCTCCTCAGAGGCTGATTGCTAGTCTTCTGAGGTGCCTCTTGGGTGGTTCAAACCACCAACTTTTCAGCTAGTAGTTGGGTGCTTCAGGAACTCGTATAAAAAGAGTAATGACCCCATATTTTGCCCCAAAAGCCTTTTATATTAAAGTAATTGCTAGGCCATAAATTACCCCCATAGAACCTTGGGGCATTTGATATCTCTTTATGGCCTAGGGATAAAGCAAGTCTCAGGATCTCCCTATATCGAAACAGTGACAGGGATCTCAATTACTAAGCCATACATTACTCATATCGCACCCTGAGACCTTGGGGTAATGGAAGAGGAAGTTTCCTCACAGCAGAGCTGTTAACATCCTTAAAAAAAAAAAAAAAAAAGCCAGACTCACTGCCATCAAGTTGATTCTGACTCATAACAACACCCATTGGGTTTCTGAGGCAGTAAATCTTTATGGAAGTAGATTACCCAGTCTTCCTTCCTCAGAGTGGCTGGTAGGTTTGAACCACCAACCTTCTGGTTAGCAGTCAAATGCCTTAAGCACCTGTGCCACCAGAGCTCCTTATCATGGGTTAAATTGTGTCCCCAAAATATATGTGTTGTAAATCCTAATGTCTATCTATGCCTGTGGTTATAATCCTATTTGGGAATAGGTTGTATTTGTTATGTTAACGAGGCAGGATTAGTGTTAGTGTAGGCTGTATCCTGAATCCGTCTCTTTTGAGATATAAAAGAGATTGAATGACTGAATGAAAGCCACATGAAAATTGACCAGACGCTCAAAGAGACAAGGACCTTCCTCCAGAGGGTCAGGAAGAGAAAGCCTTCCCCTAGAGCCAGCTCTCTGGATGCAGACTTCTAGCCTCCTAAATTTCAAAAAGAGACATTTCTGTTTGTTACAGCCACCCTCTGGTGGTATTTCTGTGATAGCGGCGCTAGACAACCGAGACACACCCCAACTCTGGGCTGCAGGGGCTTTCTATATCTCAATGCAGACAGAAGCTCCACTGCTGGGCCTCTCCTAGCACCAACTGTTAGGTGCTGTGGAATTTTTTCTGACTCATTACTAACCTCAGGTATCGCAGAAAGAAACATTGTCCAGGCCTGTGCTCAGGTGGCATAGTGCCTAAGGAATCTGACTGCTGACCAGAAGGTTAGCGGTCCAAACCCACCAGCCGCCCCCCACCATGGAAGGAAGACTGGGCAATCTACTTCCATAAAGATTTACTGCCTCGGAAACCCCAAGGGGGTCGCTATGAGTCAGAATCAACTCGATGGCAGTGAGTTTGTTTTGTTTGGTTTGGTGCCTCCCCAAAATCACATAGCATCATAAAAAATCCAAAGCCATGGGGTCTATTCTGACTCATACTGCCCCTAAAGGACAGAGTAGAACTGCCCCATATGGTTTCTAAGGCTGTAATCTTTACAGAAGTCAACCCAAAACCAAACCCACTACTGTGGAGTTGATTCTTGACTCACAGCGCCCCTAGAGGACAGAGTGGAACTGCACCA